AGGTCTTTTCCAACCCAAGTGATTCTGATTCTGTGACTCCATGAGACCAGGGGCGAGGTGAGCTATGGTATCACTGCCCATCTACCCTGAGCAGAAACCCACTAGTGAGGGCCAAGCCCATTGGACCCACACGGTTCCAGGAAGGAAACAGAGAGCAGAGGGTGAGGATCAGGGCTAGTGGCTGCTAGCCATGCTCATGTGACCCACAGCACCTTCCCCCAGCCCAGCCGGAGGTGGCCAGGGTACTGGGAGGAGGTTTCACCACACACATCCTGTTCTTAGCCTCAGTTGAGAAGGGGACACTGCCCGAGACGAGGCACCTGGTCAGCAACCTCCAAGCAGTTCTTTAGCAGGATGAATGCGGATGAGCAGTGACAGGGAAAGCCTGCATCACACTGCCCTCACTTGCTGCTGCCTCAGCTTTAACAGGGGACAGCTAAAACTGGCCGGTACTGTAAAAAAGGCATTTTCCACTTCCTAAAATAAATCTGCTCAGAAAGGTGTCTGGCACTCCTGGACTAGTGGCGATTATTGTTCCCTGCACTGCAGAAGCAAGAGCTCACACTCATAAAGCACTCGAGAGGACAAGAGGAAGCGGCCTGAGGTTGTGCCAGGGGAGGTGGAGGGTGGACATGAGAGGTGTCTTCCCCAGCCCCAGGAAACACTGTCACAGTTTGAGACTGTTGAGGAACAGTGACAGGAGCGTGCGCCTGTCACGATTAGCTCCGTGGCTTTGAAGAGACGTGCTGCTCAAGCAGCAGTAATTTGGAACAGACTGCACACGCCTTTTTGCATGGTGACTTTTATTCTCACCAAGTCCTGTACATTCAAGTTGCACATACTTTTAAGTTGTTGGGAGCCTGTTTCAGCTCCATCCCCAATAGCCTGGTCTGTTTGAACAGTTTTAAGTTTATGCCTCAAAAGTAGCCAGGAAGTTTGTGACTATTTCCTTCAGCTTGGCTTCTGTCTGGTCAGAGATCTTCCCTTCGGTCCTGTTGAAAGAGTTGAGTTAAACGTCTGATGGAGGAACAGATACGTGTTCAATCCCCAACTAAGGCACAGGAAAACACTCTAACACAAACCTTCCAACTTCTAGCAAAACACATTTCTTTGGTGCACGCAGCTACCTATGCCACTGAAGCTAACATAGCATCCCTGCTCCTAGAAGAGTTAGTCCTAAGAACTTAAGATTGGTCAACAAATGTTTCCAAAACAGCCACGGATAGTTCAACAAGACTCGCTCTCGTGCAGAGCTGTGCCTCAGAGGTGGCAGGCATGTGATGCGGCCCATGACTAGAGAAGCCAGGAGCAGTTTAGAGGAGAGGAGGATGGAAATACTCCCTCCCCAATGGCTCACTGGCCGGCAAGGAAGGCAGTGAGCAGCACTGGCAATGCCTAAAGCTGCCACAGATGGGAACAGACAGATCATGCCACTTCAGCATCAGATTAAAGGAGAGGTTTTAAGCATTTTAAGCATCAGCTGGATTTCCCAAGTGAAAATTGAGTCAAGAAGCTGAGCTGTGGACAGTGGAAGAACAGCAGGAAGGCTGGTTTAACCTCCAGTTCTGGTATAGGTAACTTATTCCCTGACGTTCTAGAGTACCCTACAGTTCAGTGACCATTCCCTGCACTCCAGCCAAAAGGTCAACACCCGTGGGGTGAAGCAGGTTAAGTCAGCATACCTGATTGTGGAGAGGAGGGCCTGGTGCTGGCTCAGCACATGAGCCAGGAAAGCGCTCTCGAATTTAGTGATTTTGCTGGGCTCCAGCTTGTCCAAGTGTCCCCTCACACCAGCGTAGATGACTGCAACCTGCTCCTCAATAGCCATGGGAACTGCAGGAGAGAAAGCGTCTGCGTCATTGCCATCAGGGCACGCCCGTGTTGCACAGAGCCCTCCTCTGAGGGTCAGCTGCACACCCTTCAGCCAAGCCTGCGTCCACCCCACCCCCAGGCGGTGCACCCGCCCCCCAGATGAGCGGGCTGGAAAGCCCACACGCTACTTGTGTGCAATGGGAGGAGGAGCTTCATGCTCACCTGCTTCATAGCCCTGGTCTGGGCAGCAGAACCCACGCGGGACACAGACAGACCAACGTTGATGGCTGGACGGATACCTTTGTAGAACAACTCGGTTTCCAGGAAGATCTGTAGGAGAAAATTGCTTTATGAGTTTGGTGAGCGGGCTGGAAAGCCCACACGCTACTTGTGTGCAATGGGAGGAGGAGCTTCATGCTCACCTGCTTCATAGCCCTGGTCTGGGCAGCAGAACCCACGCGGGACACAGACAGACCAACGTTGATGGCTGGACGGATACCTTTGTAGAACAACTCGGTTTCCAGGAAGATCTGTAGGAGAAAATTGCTTTATGAGTTTGGTGAGAAGCGCGGAAGCCTCCTCGGAGAGCTGGCAGTACGTCACACTGCAGCACACAGAAACATATGAAGATGTCCTACCTGTCCATCAGTGATGGAGATGACGTTGGTTGGAATGTAAGCAGACACATCACCGGCCTGAGTCTCGATGACAGGCAAGGCCGTCAGAGAGCCGCCTCCGAAGGAATCGTTCATTTTGGCTGCTCTCTCCAGCAGACGGGAGTGCAGGTAGAACACGTCACCCGGGTAGGCCTCACGGCCGGGCGGACGACGCAGCAGCAGAGACATCTGACGATAGGCAACAGCCTGCGCAGAATACAGAAAGCTCTCACATTTCAGCAGCTCACTAAAAACTTTTCATTTCTAAACCCGAGGTGATCTCACAGCTACAAACACCAGCGCTAGACTATGAGGCCCATACACCACGTCTCCTGACCTGTTTGGATAAGTCATCGTAGATGATCAACGCGTGTTTTCCGTTGTCTCTGAAGTATTCCCCCATGGAGCAGCCGGAATAGGGAGCCAGATACTGCAGGGGTGCTGCGTCCGAGGCCGTGGCAGACACCACAATAGTGTACTTCATGGCATCTGGGAAGAGAGGTGCACCCCGCTGAGTGCCACACCGCGTCACGCCTGCGGCCAGGGCCGCTGGCAGGGCAGGCACTGGTGGCTGAACCCAGCCCAGGCAGCACCACCACCTGCTTACAGGAGAGGACGCTGTGCTAGATTAACACACCCGTTAGCTCAACTAACTCAAGAAGTTTCCACAGGAAGTTCATGTTTCTGGAGAGATGCTATCATTTAATCCCTTACATTTGGGCAGCAGAGTCCATGTGTGGCCTTCAGGTCTCTCCACTGAACTCAACTGCCACTCACACTGATTTGGACAGATGCCAAGCCCCTCAATGCTTGCAGGCCACCACTTGTCATTGCGCCTGCCTGGCTGCCAAGAGAAACCTCTCAGAATGCTGCTGAAGAATGCACAGAAGGTGACTTTTCTGGAAGCAATTCAGCAGTTTTGGGGCCTCACACTGGTCTTGTAATACGATATCACAAAAGGATTTTCTTCCTCAGATATGGAGAAAGATACCTTGTATGGAAAAGCAAGTAGTCCTCACATCTAGTAAGACACAGCTAGGAGACATCACAGTATTTGGCACTATCATGAGGACAGGATGTCCCTAGCTGCCACACTCAAACACCCTCAAAAATATGTACCTGCATCAGTGAGCCTCTTCACCAGCTGAGCAACAGTAGATCTCTTCTGGCCAATTGCAACATAGATACAGTACAGCTTCTTTTTCTCATCTGTGCCATCATTAAATCGTTTCTGGTTGATTATGGTGTCAATTGCAATGGAAGTTTTCCTGTGTGACAGAAAGACTGGCAAGTTAAGCTGCCTGTGGTTCTCCCAACACCCACAGAGCTCTGTGTCCAGCTTGGTACACCAGTGCACGCTGCAGCTCAGTCTCTATTAACACAACATTTTCAGCTGGGGCGCTGAACTTACCCAGTCTGCCTGTCACCAATGATCAGCTCCCGCTGGCCACGGCCAATTGGCACCAGGCTGTCCACAGCCTTAATGCCAGTCTGCATGGGCTCACGCACCGAGATCCTGGGAATGATCCCAGGGGCCTTCAACCCAACCCTTCTTCGTGTCTTAGATGTAACAGGACCCTTAACAGAGAGGAAAAGATGTCGTTGCAGTCTTATCACACAGATAAAAGCAGAGGTAGCAAACACCTAGTGACACCTACCTTCCCGTCAATGGGGTTGCCCAGGGCATCCACAACGCGGCCCAGCAGCTCCTCCCCAACTGGAACGTCCACAATGGCACCAGTCCTCTTCACAACATCCCCTTCCTTGATCAGCCTGTCGTTGCCAAACACGACAACACCAACGTTGTCGGGCTCCAAATTCAAGGACATACCCTAGGACAAAGATCACATATCCTCAGAAAAGCCATGCAGACGTTTACCAAAATGTTAACAGTTTAATACCAATGTGATTATTCCAGAGTGTGGAATATTCAATACCATCTACCTCAAACTTATTTGTAACAATAGTCAACGCTCTTCTTTTATGTGCAATGTGTGCACGTTTGTATGTTGTTCTATACTGGTTAGAGAACCTGCCTAAGCCCTCAGCTCACTACACACTGACACTTGCAGCAGCCTAGCATTCAGTCCTTCACCCCATAAAAAATGAACAGAAAGGGTAAGCACGGCTCAAATACAACATTTCTCTCTTGCCTAGGAACTGGACAAGGGAAAACCACTGTTGTCTTCCCTGCTGACAATGAGTTAGGTAAGTAAAAACACTGAAGAGCTGTTGCAGTGCTCTCCGAACAGTCAGAGATTAGTTCTCATCCAAGATAAAGACAAATGAAGTCAGATGTTGGCCGAGAACCAGACACGCCTACTGAAAGCGAAGCGTTACAAATTCAACAAGTATCTGCCTTCTGCAGTATTAACTAGTCACTACCAAGTGCTTTAGTGGAAGCTAACCTTCAGTCCAGAAGAGAATTCAACCATTTCTTCTGCTTGCACATTTCTTAGCCCGTACACACGGGCAATACCATCACCAATTGAGAGCACACGACCAGTCTCCTCCAGTTCAGCAGAGGTGTCAGCTCCCAAAATACGTTCCTCAAGAATAGAGGATACCTCGGCCGTACCTGGGAAGAGACATTTCAAACCAAATTCAGCACGTTAAGGCACAGTATGAATTCAGTAAGCTTGTTCTGAATTCACAAGCCAGGGTATCCTTTCTCAGGTACACCACAAGGTCTAGCAAGCAACACTCTTCCTTATGTAGGATGTGTAAGATAAATAACAGATTCTGTATTCACAGCCAATAAAAGCAGCTTTGGCTCATTATTATGAGCCAGCTTCCATCAAAACATGGGAGGCTGCTGTCAATTTCCTTCATTATGTCCTATACTCTTAGTAATCTGCCCTCCTAGAAGGCAATCGGATTAAATAATTAGCCTCTAGCTCAGAAAGAACAGACACACTCGTTCTGCTTGCAGAGCATTCACTTACTGGGGACATTGAAACAACACCCTGTCTCAAATTGTAACCCAAGATCCAAATGCAGTTAAAGGAACACAACACTTTAAAAGAGAAAGTTGTTATATATAAACTATAAATATGTATCCTCATGCCTCTTCAAATTTATTTGGCAGCGTCCCCCCCAACAGCTTTTTGTTTCCACAGTAAATAACATTGTGAAGGTGTTAGTTCCTCCTAATACCTTTAATTATCCTAAATCACTTCAAGAATTCTACATGAGCTACTACTAAAAATACAGCTATGCTGTGCTGCTGCCCTCTCTTGAACACCAAGATGATGGCAGCAAAAATCTTATACTCAAGGACACAAGGTCAAACCCAGGCAGGCCTGGGAAAGTCACCCGTTCCTCCCCACTGTTACAAACAGGGCAGGAAAAGGGGATTTGAGGCATTTTTTCAAACAGCCAAGTGACACGTGGCCACTCCTTTGGCTTGCACATGATTTGAATGGGTCATAATTTGAACGAGTCTCCTGGATGCGGTTGTTAACAAACTATTTGCTGTTAAATACTACCAGTATACAAATGTCCTCAACTGTTTTTTCAGCTGACACCCCCCCACACACACAATAATTTTCACATCCCTTTTTGTCTGACAGAGCAAGTTCTCAACCCACACCCGAATGAAGACCCTTCTCAGACTCACCAGTTTTCTGAAAAGATGGTTTGGAGGCATGGATGTTTCTTGTGGCAACAAAGGCTGCACCCAGGGTGTTTCTGGAAATCTAAAGTAATTGTTTCAGTAACAGTGAGATTTCCCCAATCATTAAAAAAATGTTAGAAAATGACACACTACAATTTTTGATCATGAGTTTATACATGTAATGTGTCTCAGTTTTGAGCCGAGCTCCACAGCACTCTGTTCACAAGCTGTCCTAATGGAACCAATTCCAGCATTACCAAGCAAGGAGAGATGATAAAGGACATTGCTTTAAATGATGCATTGTGTTTTTCTGCACTGCACTGATGTCACCATTGCAGCAGCAGCACAGCAACTCCCAGAGCAACACATACAGTGATTGGGGCAGAAAAACACTTCACCCCTCATGGTTCTGCAGAAGGGAGAAATAAGGTTATGTCTTTCAAAGGATGGTTTTTAAAGAAAAACCTTAGCTGCAGATTTTCTGAAGCATGGCCAGAATGTGTATGATATTAAAAATGGGAAAAAAATAATAATAATAACGATAAAAAAAAACACCCCTCACGCTAAACCCACGATAATAAATGCATGAGATTAGTCCTGCACCGCAAGCAAAGCTCCC